AGTTTCTTAATGAGAACGGGGTGAGAGACAGTGTCAAAAGCCTTCCGGAAGTCCAGGAAGACTATGTCCACTGCTACCCCAGCATCTAATGATCTGGTGATCTGATCGTAAAAGGCCACCAGGTTGGTCTGACAGGACCTGCCACTGATGAACCCGTGTTGGTTGCCCCTAAGCATGCAGTCCCCTGCTGGCCCCTCCTGGATGTGTGCCAGGAATGGTAGTTGAGGCTGGGGCTACTGGATGCTCTGAAATGGGTAGTGGAATGGTAGTGGTGAAAACATTTCAGCCACATATTGGAAGGAGAACACAGGGCACATCTGGCATTATGGAAGACATTGTTCTCTTGTCTAACTCCAGTGCCTAATGCTGTTCGATACCACCAGCCAGCATGCTGGCATGGATCTGCAGGCATCAAAGTTCACCTCTTCTTCCTCAAAAGAAAGTACTTGAAGCTTTTCACAGGCTGTCAAGAAAGACTGACAGTACAGACATATGGTCGACACAGTTTGAGCTATCAGTGTGGTTCGAATCTGGTAAGTGAGATGCTAAAATCAAAAGCCCCTAAGCCTGACTTCAAAAACTAATTCGCCTGGCTGGTGGTGACAGTAGTCGCCTATCTTTATTTAAGTAGCAGGTAAAAGATATCCATGTGTATCCTACAGCACGGCCTTCACTAATATCTCTTGGTTGTTTAGACTACACCTGGTGGTCCTGAATTGGTACAAGATTTCTCCTGACTGGACAGTCTCAACAAACCATTTAGCCAGCCAGAAATATCAGTTTCTAGCTTCAGATAGCACTCTATATGGTGGGGAGAAGAATTCACTCAAAAGCTCTCTGCTTTGGGGATATGTGATTGTGGATGACTACATGGGAACTGACTGCCTGTTCTGGCCATTAGAATAACCAAAGTCTTCTGAGCCAAGAGCAGGGACTGGGCTGGAGTGTGTGTCCCTAGATGAGACCTGCCGTGCTCCAAGACTTGCTAGAGGGCTATCACAGAATAAAAGAAATGCAGGGCTGCAAGGCATTTCAAGAGATCATCTTGTCCATACCTATGTAATGAGGGAGGATCCTAATTCCTGTGTGGGGCTTAGCTCACAAGCCAGGACCCAATCTCCAAAGTGAGTTGAGAGACAACTACAGGGCCGGGGGGGGGGATTGTGAAATCAAGCCCAGTTTTACCAACAGAACAATCTCACAATGTGAATAAGTTCTGAAAAGAGGCAATTTTCTCAAGCAGGGCAAGTTCGATACAGTGGGGACAGCCTGCACCTAAAGTCTGGTTTACAAACACAACTCCACAAATAAAATCTACAGGTATAAAGCAGTCTTCAGTCACAGAGGGATGCAGAACCATTACATGTTCAGAACCAGTTCGACCTGAGAAAACACCTCCCTTGACAGATGTTGTTGCCCAAGAGAGACTCCTAAAGGGAAACAATTCTTTCATCTGGATCTTGCTCTAGAAGGGCAGCGGCCACAGAGCCATGAGCAGTTGTAGAGCCACAGCAGCCCCCTTCCCAGATTCATTTCTGTCCAAGAGACTACTTTATACAACTAGCTTTACAATGCTAACGCACCCAGCATCCTCTACCCAAGTACAACTAGCGCCGTATCACAATTCCAAGGAATTCTTTGACAGTATGTTCTGTCTCTGCATACTAAGATCCACCGACATATATACTTAAATATCTGGTCTGGTCAGATCTGATTGTCTCTTCTCTTCATCCTTTGTATAGCCACACCAAGCTAGCTTTGTAATTACTACTGAGGAAAAGCCAGGGTGCAAAGATAAAGTTTGCATCTCCATAGTCTGCCCAGTTCCTCAGGCCTGTCTCTGCAGACCTGAACCAGCTCTACAAGGGGGTGATACAACAGGTAAAACTAGAACCAAACCCACTAAAGACAAAACAAGACCCATGTTTTCCACACAAAGGGTCACCCTCTGTCCAGGAATGGTTTTACAGAAGTGATAACACCTATCCCAGAACAAGCTTCACAAAATAGATTGGGTTCAGAGGTCTTCAAAAGAGATAACATCCCAGTTCTGCAGGGGTCCAACTGTCAGCGTTGCTTCTACCAAAAAAAATTAAAAAATAAAAAAACCTCAAACAAGACTGGATCTGCAGCTTGGGCAGCAAGAGAGCCAGGACTACCTCTAAAATAAAACCATCGGTCCTGAGCCATTATTAGTATCAGTGGTGTTTTTGAGCCACAGCCAAGTTCTGCAAGGAGATGACTGCATGGTCACTCCAAACCAGTTCAACCCAAAAGACCGTATCATTATTCAGTGAGGAATGAAGGGGTCCTATCAGAACAGCTTCTGCAACAGAGAAAACTACCTCCTGTTACCACGATTTCTGCATGCAGGAACGCTGCATATAATGACCGCACAATTTGACAAAGAAGTCCAGATTTTCAGCTCAGGCATCTTAATCACCCACACACACTTTTTCTAGTATAAGGCCAACATGCCGTGCAGCCCCTCTTTTACAAAGTGAAAGATCTCTGTTAAAAACTTCAGCACACTGCCCCAACCATGGTAAGTTCTTATTAGTAACTATTACTCAGCCAATCCCAATTCCTCAAGAGTGACATAATAACTCTCAATTATAGGGACAAAGCAGATCTGCAAATGCAGGTCTCCCTAGAGCTCCCCAACTAGAACTAGGTCTACACAGCAAACTGCATCCAGACTAGAAGTAGCTTTATACAGAGAGCGTCTCCCTGGGAAGCATATAGTGACAGGGCCCCTCCCTGACCTAGATTATTAATAACTAGCCTGTCAGAACTAGTTCGCAGAGGGAGACTGGCATACAAACAGGAGTGATTTTTTTTTTTTTAGAGAGGATAATTCACTAATAGGTTTCAGATCTACTGGGAGGAATTTTCTACAAAATCAATATGCTCTAGAGGGGAACAGAACCATTTCTACAAGGCAGTTGAACCCACACATTAAAGCAGTCCTTCCACAGAGAACACCCCTGCAGCTACCATCCGATCTATGAAAGAGACAACTCCCAGCCAAAACCAGTTCTGTTAGGAGAACACCTCACCCACCAGGCCTAGCGCTCCACAATAGAAAACTTCCAAATCAGAACCAGTTCTGCAGGGTGAGCCACGCTCCAAGCAGGAGGGTTTCACCAAGGGGGCCACTCCCTAAGCAGAGGAAGTTCAGAACATTTCTTACACAAGAGACATTCTTCTTGCGGTGACTCCAGAAAATCAGAGCTATTCTTCAAAGACCGATTCCAGAGCTGTGAGCAAATGTTTCATATATGAATCCTCCCTGGGTGGACCAGCTCTGTCACTAGGGAAACAGCTAGGTAGCTGGGAGCAATTACTTAAGGACAACATTTACTCTATGAAGAAAACACCTTTATTGTTGCCGAGTGTATTTCCTGCCCCTTCAGTCTCTCACCCTACAGCCTTTAATTCTTTGTTAGAAATTTCCTGGAATGAATTGTTCTAGATATGCAAATGAATCTGTCTTCCATCTGAAAGTAATGACAGGTTTATGAAATAATTGGATGGGCGACACTCTGCCCAAAGCAGTGTCCCCACCCAGAAGATAAGCCAGGACTAAGGTGCGCAAGTACTCAAGGCCATGCATATACAAAGTCAGGTTTTCAAGGACAAATGTCAAGAAGACATCACAGTGAGCAGGGGAGGCCTGCGAATGAGACAATTTCATCTAGCCTGCCCTGCCTTCCTCCAGCACATTTTGCTAACAGACAACCGAACACTTACTTGGAGCTGGACTGAGACCGTGTGTATGCCATCTCCTGCTTGCCGCTCATCCTAGGCTCAGCATATACCACCTCCTGCTTATTGCTTGAAGGACAGGAGAGAGCACGTGCTGCCATTTTTTTATTTGTCCTAGTAGTCCCTTGCTGAGTGCTATAGCTGCTGTAGATGCTTTGGCGATTCAGGGTCACTTTGTGCCCTGCCTGGTTTCCCTGATTTCTCTTAAGGGTGCCCCGGGATGGCTCACAGCAGAGGTCAGGCTCGCTTCGGCTGGTCTTCATGTTCTGAACAAAGCAGTAGTCACTGCCGGCCCTGGGGGTGTTGCAGATTTTGTTGTAGTTCTTGCTGCCCCAGCCTTCCATTTGGCTGTAAGAGCTGTAGCGTTTATTCTCTGTGTCCCTTTTAAGGGTCCCATTGTACAACTGCTGGGTAAAAAACAGGAAACAAGACAGTTAAAAGAGGCTTACACTGGCTCCCAGAATCTGCGCAAAGACTAAGTCTTGATGGGTGATGAGCCCTGGCTTTAATGGGATTGGTGGGCACTCAGTCCATTAATTGAGTGTTTTGGTCATTCTGTATACCTACCTAGTGTAGATATTTTATGGTCCCTATTCCCACAGTGTCGGTGCACTTTATAATTTTCACTGTATACAGCCTCACACACCTCCTGGGAATCAAGTTTATGTGATTAACCTCATTTTACAGATGGAGAACTGAGGTTAGAGCAACTAAGGTACTCACTCAAATCACACAGAGAGTTATGGTAGAGCAAAATTCATAACCGACTCTATACACTCCTGAACTTTGCTTTTGCCTGCTAACAAATTGCAGCCACCACATGGAAACCTTTGATCAGAGCATAGCAATACTACACAAGTGTTAAAATAGGAAGGCCTGTGACATAGATTTGAACCTGCAGCCGAATTGTAGGTGTGGAACATAGTCACTCAGCTCACAAATTGACCATTTCTCACAGCAGGGATCTTCTCGTCTTGAACTCAAGCAGTCAGGTCCTTAGTTTTATGTGTCATATCGAAGACCACCCCCCTTCCATCACAGAAGCTGACTTTAACTTCATTCTACCCTTCTCATTACTTATTTTATCTTCATTTTTCATTCCTTTTATCCATCTTTTATAGCAACAAACACACTGGCCCATATTTAAAGATTCCCCAAAGAGAGGAAAACGTAGTCAACATGAAAAGGACCTGGGGGTTACTGTTCACAATATGGATTTGAGTCAGCAGTGTGCCAAGAAAGCTAATGACTTACTGGGCTGCATTAGTAGGAGTGTTGCCAGCAAGTCACAGGAAGCGATTATTCCCCTCTATTTTGTACTGGTGAAGCCACATCTGGAGTAGTGTGTCCAGTTTTTGTCCCCCCGCTACAGAAAAGATGTGGACAAGTTGGAGAAAGTCCAGCAGAGAGCAGTGAAAATGGTGCGGGGGTTGGGGGGCATGACTTATGAGGAGAAGCTGAGGGAATTGGGCTTATTTAGTCTGGGGAAGAGAAGACCGAGAGGGGGTTTGATAACAGCCTTTAACTACCTGCAGGGGGGATCCAAAGAGGATGGAGCTGGACTGTTCTCAGTGGTGACAGATGACAGAACAAGGAGCAATGGGCTCAAGTTGCAGCAAGGGAAGGTTTAAGTTGGATATTAGGAAAAGCTTACTCACTAGGAGGGTGGTGAAACACTGGAACAGGTTACCCAGAGAGGTGGCAGAAGCTCCATCCTTGGAGGTTTTTAAGACCCAGCTTGACAAAGCCTTGGCTGGGATGATCTAGTTGGGGCTGGTCCTGCTTTGAGCGGGGGGTTGGACCAGATGTGACCTCCTGAGGTCTCTGCCAACCCTAATTTCCTACGATTCTATGACGTCCTGATGCTCTGTGTAGGCAGCAGAAAGTGTCTTCATGAATTAATTAGTGATTTATTAGCTTGTATGGAAGATCTGAGAACAATGAGATAAAATTCCTTAAGAAATCCTAAGGTTATCCCAGGAAAAAAAGCCATTGCAATTGGTCAAAAGAAATAAGCCAGGTCTTGGTCTCCGTTAAACTGGTGTAAATTCGTAGCATCTTCAGCAGAATTACTCCAGCTTTACACAAGTGTAACTGAGATCAGAATCTGGCCCAATATTCTGTTGCAATAATAAAACTTTTGGATGCCAGATCTGGCATCTGCCTTGGGGTATGGCTGGAGGACTGCCTCCTTGGCAGAGTTATTGACGCCTTGCTGGCTAGAAAAACTGACATTAAGGTGTTTACTCCTGCAGTAAATAGGTGGCTATGCCAGGCAATGAGCAACACAGGAGAGCATGATCTGTTCCTTTTGCAGAATCCTCTTCTCAGGTTACTACAGTGGCCTTTTATATGTTCCTAGTTATGGAGCTCTCCTGATTCACAGAAGGTGCCATTGCATTGAAACACTACTAAGACAGCTGTTGTGTTAGGAGGACCTCCAGACAGCCCCCCAAAATGGATCCTTTGCTTGCTGCCTGCCCAGTTCTATTCTAGTCCATGGTGTCTAAGTGCTTGGACTGGGAGAACTGCAAGACACTTTGCCCTGATGGTCACGAGCTAGTGCATGAATCTGGCATTCAAGAAGCAGAGGCAGTCAGAAAGAGATGAAGGCAAACTAAATAGCACAGTCCTTATATCTCTTCAGCTAATTCCTTTTCTGTGAAGAAGGGCACTTTGTGATCTAAAGCTTGTTTAACTTCTCCCCCAAATTCTGTTGGTTCAATAAAAGATATTCCCCTCCCCCCCGAAAAAAAAAAAAAAGAATTGAATTCAAGTAGGGGAATAGCTGGAGAAATGTAAATGTCCAATGCATTTCCTTCCAAAGAACAAATTGCAAACCTGCCACCATCCAGCAGCCAGGGGCAACCTTGTCTAATGCACAGGAGAAAGCCCCAGAGGACCACTGAGCAGGAACGTACATGCAACAAGGAAAGCACCGTAAAAAATGAGGAGGTAAGTGAATATAAAAGATTAGTCCCAATAACAGCATTACCAAGGAGCACCTGGCTAGTATCATGACAGAGGGCCTTTTGCAGAGGCATCTCTGTTGCAGCATCCACTGACTAGTAGTAGTAGACAAAAGAGAAATCCTCCACCCAGACTTTGCTCTACAACACCTACAAAGCAGTGGTTAAAAGCCCAACAGAGCAGGCCTTTAGTCAAAGCCATTCTAGTGTTACACGTTTAATTCATGCATCATTTTGAAGGAGAGAAACTTCTTGACCCTGTTAATATCCATGGCCCCTGGTTATTGAGAGCATCCTAGAATCTCAGGAACCACGGAGGTGCAGCTGGAATGGGGCAAGGCTCTAAGACCTCAGGTGTTGCTGGGGTCATTTTCTTCGGGCTGACTCTGGTAACCTGCGCTCTGTGCACGTTCCCAAGGCTCCTAGAACTCAGAGGACTGGGTGGAGGAAAGCAGCAGCAGCAGGTTGTTAAAAATTAGCCCACCCTTACGGAAGCTTCCCTTTATGAGTCAACATAGGATGAAACTGTTTTGTAGAGGTGTCAGCATTTTGGCAGGAACGTTGGGCCTCCTGGGCATTTACTGCAAACAATTCAACTAACTATTATCTTTCCACTAAAGACTTAGACATACTTTTTTATGAGTTTCCAGTGTTTACATCAGGCATCTGCCAGGAAATGAGGGGAGGGAAAGTTTGTGTGTGTTTGCACACAATTGTGCTCAGTTTAGAAGACAAATTACCTGTATCATATTTCTTCTGGTGTTTTGCAGAGATGGCCTGCCACCATGGCTTAGCTGGTAACATGTTTCTCTTCCCTACCAGCCCTGGGAATGGCAAATTCTAAGTTATTGCCTGGCTGGGAAAGCTCCTTTCTATTAGACAATGAGCCCTCTTCAGCAAGTTAGTGCAGGTCCTCTCTGGGTGGGGTAGAATTATTTGGGAAGCCTTTTGCAAACTCATGGGAAAATATTTATGGTGTGATGTGAAACTCATTACCAAAGCAAGCACATGAGTTTTATTACAGATGCTACTAGATGCTTAGCTAGTCCTGTTCTAAACTCTTCCAAGAGGCATGGAAAGAGACCTGGTTGTTACCGAAAGGTTACTATATAATATTGGCTTGATCCAAAATCCTTTGAAATCAGTGGGAATACTCCCACTGCAGTAGACTTTAGATGCAGGTTGCCAAAGAATTTGTACAAATCACGTTTCTCTAAAATAAAGCTCAAAGGATCTCTTAATTAACATGGCAATATGCCGTGTTAGTGTCCTAACTACACTGCTCTCAATATAATGTCTGTAATGCACTCTGTCTAATCCAAAATTGGAACGTGAAAGGGAGCCAAGTGGAAGAAACGGAGAACTACAAGATGAGGAGGACTTGCATCAGGATAAAGCTGCTAAGGATGTATAGTCTGGCATCTAAACTAAAGGAAACCATCTCTGGCAGTGGAAATGGAGGTGTTATACCGAACAGTTTATGCCCCAAGACTGTCTTGGCAAGTTTGTTATTCTTCCTATTTTTACCTCTGCCCAAGCAAATATCACCCAAGTCAAGTGAGATGGTCTAGCACTTACTATAGAGAATAAAATTAACAAAGGGAAATAAATTATTCATTTCCACCCCACAACTCACATACATTTGACTCCATAACATTTGCTGTGAAGCTTCCCTAAAGCTTGCGTGTGTGTGGATCCAACATTTTAGTACAAGCCCATGTCTAGCGCTGGATAAGAGCAAGGCCCAGAAATCAAAACTGTCAATGAGAATTAAGGAAGGAAATCACAACTCAGAAGGAATGCACTTGATATGCAAAGATCTCTAAAGAGCACAGCCAAGGATCACATACAGAGATCTCCCTGTTGGATGCACTGCTACTCTTATGGTGGCTCCCTATGGCCTTTCCCAACCCTTCAGCAGTATAGATTTACTCAGAAAGATCAGGATTTCCTGCAGTCCCACCTAGCAGAGCAAAAGACATACTGCCTTATTGCAGGAACTTATAATGCTGGAGAGCAGACAGCCTAGTCACACTGGGAGCATCTACTCCCAGTGCTATTAATGGACTGTAAGCTTACTGCACAGTAAAATATTGTGCAGTAAGCTTTCCCTGGGAGCACATCTACATGTGTGCCCATCAGCAACAAATTTGCTCCTGACGGGAGCAGTTCAGTGCAGGGCTACTCCTGCCCTGCTCTACCCCCCTACAGTAGCCAGGAGGAGCTCCAGGCTCCCCCAGGTGCCAACCCAGGGCTGGCAGGGAACGCCAGGGTCAGTGCTCCATTTGGCCAATCGGAGCACAGGGCTGGGAAACTGTCCCCTCCCTAGCAGCTGTTTCCCAGCCCTACGCCCTGATCTGCTGATTGGGATGCAGGGCTGGGAGGCAGCAGCCCAGGGAGGAGTAATTTCCCCTGCCCTCTGCTGCCTGGGCTGG